AGAAATAGGTCCGGGTTTTCAATGGCTCGCAAACAGTCCAACCATTTGTAATCATACGGATCACAACCCAATTTGCGGGCCGTTTCCTTGGCTTTACTCAACGCCTCTACAGTTCCCAAAACTGGTCTATCCTTGTGATACATTTGAGCCCCGCTTTGGATAATAGATCTTTTGAATAGACCCTTAGATAGGGGTGAGAGTAGATGTGCCGATACGGACCAACCACCGGCGCTCACACCAAATATAGTAATCTGATCCTTGTCTCCACCGAATTCATGAATATTATCTCTCACCTCAATAAGATTAATTAATTAAAATTTATTTCTGTGCTGAGAAAATAAACCCACAATTTTGAATAAATAAAAAGCTCTTAAGCGAGTTGAAAACTTTTTAAAAAAAATATATACTACTGCACGCAATATAAAAGTTTTTACTCATCCCAAAATGTGGGGTTATTTTGCAATATAGGTTTTTGAAACATTAAACATGGAAACAACAATACAGGTAGTAATTAATAACTAAAATATATACCCATTTCAATCCTAACAGTTGGTCATAAAATCCTAGATTACCGGGTGCTGCCTGATCGCCACCATATAAAAAACCTAACTGTCCCAATCGGTAATTTACTGATACTATGACCACATCATTGGTGGCCAAAACACTCCCGTTAATTAACTTGTGAAATATTGATCCCATAGTAAGTGCCCCGCCGTATATAAAATACATAACAGGTTTTAGCTCTGATTTTGATGCAATTTTGCCCACACTTTTGACAACAGGTGTCCATATGTTTAGTACCAAACAGTCCTCACTTGTTGTCAGTTTGCTTCGAGACAAAGATAATTGACTTTGTATTTGTATGCATGAGTTACCCTCCACAGTGCCATCGATTATATCCTGGTTATTGTTGTAAAAAATAATTTCTATATTATAGTATAATTTATGAAACTAATTTTTTAAATACCTTTTTAGGTGTCTGTAGTGGTTGTGGTGGACTGAACCTGAGTGGGCCCACCGGGGGCTCAGCATAAGGTATATTCAAGAATTGATTGATTTTGTGATTCACAACATTCAGTGTCTGTCCCCTCACTCCA